CCCCCCTGAGGCCCTCTACACTCACATGGGCCGTCTACCATTATGAGGCCGTCGACATCTGCCCTTACTATACTTAGCCAAATAAATGGCCATGAAATAGACGAAAACCACCCAACAACGAACGTGGGCATAACCAAATGCTAGACGAGTGGGGGTCGCAGCTATAGAACGTGGGGGAGTGGGAATGCATACATGAGACACGTGGCACAATTAATCATTGAATGGGGCGTATCATCAGGTGCCTATAAATACCCCAATGTGAGAAAATGTATGCTTCTTGAAATCCGAACTATCTGAATTCCAATATAATCTCTCCATATTCTCCCAAATCGAACACTAATTCTCACGTCGGAGGTACAACGGGGGAGAAAGCCCCGACCCCATTTTGCAGGTAGTAAATACCGATCGGAGTAGCTGGAACACCAGTCACGTCAGGGAGAACACGAAATTTACCTCATTACTATTTCATTAGCACCGTCTATGGGAAACCACTGAACAAAAAATCTATGTCAAGAAGACGGACATGAAGTGAAACACACATGGTCGGAAACACGGCAAATACGGAGTCGGAGTCTGTTGCAAGGGGTCATGACCCGCCACTGCCACCGCAATACGTGACGCAGGGCCAATTTAGTTCCATAGAGATACATTTGGCAGCAATGATGACCCTCCAGCAGAGTCAGACGCAGAAAATCGCAGCCCCGCCACAACACTCATCCGAAGCAGTACATGAGCAACCGCCCCAGGTGGTGAAAACGGTTACCCCGCCTGTTACTCAACCAATCACAGGAGACTCGGGGGCTACAGGATTTGTGGTTCCACAAATTTCCCAACCTATGATGGACTTAAAAAGAAAGATAGAGGAGATGATGATCCAGAAGATAGACGACGCATTAACCAAGAGGAAGGACGGGCGTAGGCAGATGGTTTTGGAGGAAGATCCATTTACACCCGAAATCATGGCTGTTCCAATACCAAAGGGCTTCAAACAGCCAATGATAGAAGCATATGATGGAGTATTTGCAAGAGTATTTAGCTAGGTTCGACTGGGCGACATTTGGTATAAGAGACTTTCAGATGTCTGCAGTGGTGACAGCGTTGATGAATGAGACTTGAAACCGGGCTTTTAAGATTTCACTTTCTAAAAACCCTCCAGAGTCAATGCACGACCTATTGAAGAAGGGTGACAAGTA